ATTAGTTTGACCTAAAGCTGTCAACGGCCAAACCTGATTTCGGCAAAAACTAGTTTCGACTAAACAAATCTAATTTATTCAAAGAGAAATATATAGCACCAGTTTAGCTTAGTGCAAGCTGGTTTATCTTGCTTCTGTTACCGAAAAAGCACGATTTTAATAAAAAATGCTTTTGCTTAGGTTAATCTGGCTGATGTAAGGAGCAATAGGATGANTTACTTTTAGAGGTTACATTATTTTCATAATACAATTACAGTTACTTACCTCAGCTTCTATAGCTGCAATTTTTTCTAATATTGTACTCATTTTATTGTTTTTTTTTAAGATGAAACGTTATGATTTCAAAAATTCTTATAAATATTATTTAACACAAGAAACGTGCAATGTTTAATATGTCGTTAAATTCCAACCTGGTTCATTTATTTTTAATATGAGTTTCTTTGAACTACAGTCCTTTGGGCGTTTGAACTTCTTAATTTTATGGATAATAAAAAATTCTACATTTCTGTATTTTGATATTTTATCTAAAATTCTAAATCTAATACTTAATTCATCTATAGTATTTGTTCATTGGCATTCCGAATTCTTCAAATTTAAAGGTAAAAACTAATTCATTTGTTTCCTTATTTTTAGTTCATAGTATACAAATATGAAGTTGAAAACACATGTACATTTGAACTAAAGATTAGCTTTTCAAATTAGAGGTACAAGAAAAGAGAATTCATTTTTTTAAAGACTTGCACATAAGTAATAAATAATAAAAGAGACAAATGGAAGAAAGTGGAACAAATTGCTCAGAGGATGATGATCCTATCGTAAAGGAAGTAAGTAAATATTTTTGATAAATATTAGGTTTAAAATGTTAAAATAACCTCTACATGTGTTGCAAAACACATTTTAGATTCCAATAATTGTTTCAAAACGATTAGAGAACCAGCTTTTTGTTTTTCAATATCCTCTTCAACCTCGATCTAGACAAAAGAATTTAAACATTGGAAAGTGCTTCATTAAACCAAAAAATCATGAAGTTAAACTGGAAGTAGATATCAACACAGAATCTCAAAATTTTGATACTACTAAAGCTGAAGATCTTGCATACAAAGTTGACGGTATTCCTGAATCTAGAAAAGACAATAAAGAAGTTGTATTTGAAAATGATATGATGGATAAAGTAACTTACAAATCAATTAAACCGTTAAAAAATGTTAAAAAATATGCTGTTGGTATTTTTAATGGTAAAGAATACCATATAACTCCTTTAGAAGGTAAAAACAGTTATAAAGACTTTGCCATTTGTTCCACACCATATGTAATGTTTTAAGGATTTCTGCAATTGAGGCCAAATTATGATCACTTAGATAAAACATTGAAACGAAAGCGGGTAGAGACAGAAAATGAAGTTTCAGAAGAAGAAGAATCAGGTCCTAGTCAAGCCCAACAAGTTACAGTACGTTTCTCTAGAGGTGATAATGAGAAACTGAAAAAAGCCCAAGAAAGTACATATAAAAGTTTAGTACAGAAAAGTGCAGAAGAACCTTGGATAAAATGTACCTGGGAAAAAGCTAAAAGTTCAATAAGTGAAGTAAATATTTTTTCATCAGCTTAATGATAAAGTTATCAAAAATTTTGAAATTTTAGTTAGAAAAATCAAAACTTTATGCTGAAAACACATCTGAAACAGGGCAAATTAAACATATTGGTTCTGAGGAATACATAAACCAATTAGTACCTGAAGATAGAGAAAAAGCTGTAATAAAGCCATGTTTGCCAGCTAATGTTTTGTCTCTTCAAGATTTGAGAGCACTTCCAATAATGGATCAGTGTAAATTACTGTTAAAAGATGGTAAGATTCAGTATTTGCCTACCTTTTTGTCATGAGTGTACAATAGTAAAACACATCAGTTAGCAATTTACGTTTATTTTCTTTACATTCAGATACTAATTAATTTTATTACTTTAGCAAAAATCATACAGTTTCAACAATTATCTCTTTTACTGGCTGGTTGCAAAGGACTTTCCCTAGACAGTCTTCTCAAAGCATTACCTCAAGTTGCTGTGTTGGTAAGAGGTAATTGGGTAATTAAGTCTGAACTGCTGTATCCAGCCAAAACATTTTCTGGAACCAGTGGCGTACCATCTGAGCAAATGTGTCGAGCAAGAGATTACATTGTAAGTTGGGTTCTTTTTTTAACTAAACCACATTGGTTTGGTCTAAACTTGTCACCGGCCAAACCCGATTTCGGTAAGAAGTAGTTTTGCCTAGGCCAATCTAATTTATTCAAAGAGATATAGATAGAACCGGTTTAGCTTACTTCAAGATGGTTTTTTCCTAACTCTGTTACCGAAAAAACACGATTTTAGTAAAAAATGCTTCTGCCTAGTTAATCTAATTGATCCAAGGACCAGGCGTCATTATCGGGTACTCGGCCGGATCTTAAAAAAGTGCCGGATCCAAACCGGGTACCCAGCTGATCCATACTGTATACGTGTAATGTTACAAGTATCTATGGTTCTAGCCTAGATAGGTTAGTAAAGCAAATTAATGCAGCTGAGATAGCTGATGATAGGATATTCTGACGGTTAAAACGTCTAATAAAAGAATGAAACTAACTAAAATGACCTACTTGAAAAATATCTATATCTACCAAACTGACTCTACATCTAACAAATGAAACATTAAACGGTAATAAAACAAATTTGTATTCGTATTTTTTGTGGTCTGACAAAAATTAACGTAGTACAATTCAATATATCGGCATTATTATAATTAATTGTTTATTAGTAGACATAAATCAGAATTCATATACTTGTTAAAGATTACACAACCGAAAGGTCGAGAACATTTTTTGTTAATAGTTTCTAGTAGGTACTTTTCCAGGCAACAATTCATCGTCAATTTGCCAGATTAGAAAATAACTTTAATTTGCAAGAGAATAGAAGCCCCTTGACAATAAATAACTTGCTAGTGGTACTTACAAAGATATAGTATTTGCATTACAAATTGGCTATGTTTATTACAGGAAGGCGATGAAAGACAATGAACTACCTGTAGGGCTACGCTTAGTTTGCGCAAGAATTGGAAGCAATCAGGTAATATTTACAACAAAGATTTACGAAGTAATGAGAAGAAGTATTGAGAAGTACGGCTCCTACAAAAAAATGTCAGAAGATCAATTTGCAGCTCCTTATTATAATTTCCGGACGTAAGTTCATTGTGCAACGTGCTGTGTCCTGACTTATAAGATTGACTTAAATAATCAATGTTAATAACACCCACAATATCTCATTAATTTTACGATAGATATCGAACATCATTAGCTTCCAGATATGCACTGCCAATTCATAAATCAAATACTATAGTAAGAAACCAGCACATCATATCGTAATGTGACTTCGTTTAAATTATTAACAATATAAAAATAATTTACTGATTATTCAAGTTCGACTTTACTAATGAAATTAAATAGAATGCTAAGCTCCTTGTACACTCTTAATCTTATTTTAATATTTCAGTTTAGACCCAAATAGCATATCGGGAACTTTTAAGGTCATTTGCCTCGAAAAAAAAAATATTTGAATATCACCGCGATTTTTTGCATAGCCGCATATTTTGGTTTTGTTTTCGACCAGAGTCATATTTTACATGGCTGTAATTTAAACGAAACATTATTTTTTTTATTTTTGAACACTCTGTATAGTGAATCAAATCATGTTAATACAGACGATTCAGCATTAAAATAGGCAACACATTTTGTTTGAAAAACTTTTTGATTGAACTTTCAATTTAGAACCAATGAGCATATTGCGAACTTTCTGGGCCATTTTTTGAACACTCTGTATAGCAAATCAAATCTTAATAATACAGACGATCTAGCATCAAAATTGGAAACAAGTTTTGTTTGAAAAACTTTTCGATTAAACTTTCAGTTTAGACGCAGTGAGCATATTATTAACATTATTTTTATATTTTTGAACACTGTACAGTAAATCAAATTTTAATAATAAAGNGACGTTCCTGAGGGAAATTGGTGTTGTCATCGTGTGCTGCCATCTATCAAACCACGCCAAAACGATTTTCAGACTGATTGATAGGTTAGTTTGGATTTGGCAGCCATTCGACTGAGACATGTTTCGTTATTTTCGCTAAGACGGAAAAAGAGCAGTATCGTTCGGTAACTCGCTTTTTGTTTTTGGATGGGAAGAAATGCGAGGAGATGAAACCAAAGTTGGATACTGCTTATGGAGACATTTCGCCATCTACGACCACAGTTAGGTATTGCTTCAACGAATTTAAACGTGGGCAAAGATCCATTTTTGATAGGAGCGACCAGGAAGCATGGCAAACGTTGTTACCGAGGAAATCATTACACGGATTTTTTAGGAAAAGGAAGAACGATCACTGGACAATACTACAGTGAGTTATTGGACCGTTTCGACAAAAAATTGAAGGAGACTTGACGAAAAAGAAGGTGCGTTTTCAACTATTTGACTCCCTGTGACTTCATCTTGTTCCCTACCATGAAGAAATGACTAGCGAGAAGGAAATTTAGCTCAAACGAGGAAGTCATCGCCGAGACAGGGGGGATTTTGGAGAGTTCGACAAATCTTATTTTTTGGAGAAGTAAAAAAAATGGCAGGGTCGTTGGGAGAAGTGTATCTTTCTAAAAGGGGACTATGTTGAAAAATAAAAAAAATAAAAACTAAAAAAAAAGGTGTCTGCATTTCTAACACGGGTACTTATTGAACCGTCCTCGTACATTAAGAAAATTTCATTGAAATTGGTTGAGTGGTTTTTGAGATTAGCGTGTACGAACATAATGACATATGAAATTTATATGTTAAGATAAATTACTAAAAATGAATAGCATTAGCAATTAGTTTCATTTCATTTCAAGTATGTTGACTTATATACCTAGTAAGTATAAATAATTAAGAATTTGAAATAAAGGAAAATGTAAACATCTCAAGTAAAACTTATGCGTAGAGTAGAAAAAACTTACCTGAAAACGTAACTCATTAATAGGGGCTTTCGCAAATCTTATTCCTCTGAATCCAAATATAGTCTTCCCTAGTCTTGATGTAAATGTAGTTCCCAAAATTTTTCCTTTCGGAGTTACTGCAATGGGTTCTTGCGCGTCCGCAAATAATAAATGGGTAAATGTGACCAAAGCGAAAATTAAGCAAAACTTCATTTCTTACAACTTTCTAGTAACTATCAGATAACTCTTTAAATATTATGTCTTTGTTATTTATTTATCAACGATTACAAATGAATACAAAGAAAACTAGCACTAATTATGTAATCTGAAAATTCAGACAAAGATTATCTCCAAAACTAAGTTTTGGATCGCTTTGTGCAAAATGTCAGGTAATCGCACTTCTCCTTTATTTATAAGAGACTCTTACAGATTATAAATTAACAGAACCGTACTAGAAGTACTTTGTACAATTTAAACATCAGTTTGTGATTAAACCATTTAAGTATAACATCAGCAACAGTTAGGTAACATTCTAAGAAACTAAAAGAAACAAATAATTTAACATTAAGTCCTAATTAACAAATAAAAAAAAAACGTAAGAACAATTCTAGTATTAAAATGTAGTAAACCTCATTAATTTTTTTGAAGTGAGCAGTCCCACTAATACGTTGTAAAACTCCCTCGATATACTATAGTAAGCCCTTCAGTTGGATGTTTACATATTCCTGTAAATCATACAGGTATGTAGGCATCTACATACATATATGTGGCAATCAAATCAAATAAGTTGTTTTTTTCAATTGCGCCTAGGCGAATTTATAAAGGTCTAAGAGGGCCATTTAAAAAATTTTAATTTTGAAAGTGAAACTTCTTTATCAACAGTACGAAGGAAATTTACTAGGATATAAAATCAAGAAGTGTAACGTGACGCGTTACATCACGCGCCACGTGTGCAAATGTGGAAATGGAGTCGTCAAACTGTGGTTTGTATTATTGAAGTTTTTACCAATAGCAACGTCAAGTGTTTGCAATTTAAATAACAATGAATAATAATAAAATTATCTCATTTTGAGTGGATAAATTTATCAACAAACGAAATTTAATTTTATCATTTAATTGAAGGTTTGAAAAAAAATGTTATCTATCTATTCGAAGGTAGATACTTAATTACCAGATTGATGACTTAAAGAAAAACTTTCAAGTGTTTCACTCCCACCAGCTACTAATGCTTGTAAGCGGGCAGTCCCTCCGGACTACGTGAGAAGGTTGAGTAGAAGAGCCTCTTCAGTCACCTTTTAGGAATAGTTGGAATGGGTGGGTAATATAGTAAGCCCCTGCCTAGCCTTTGAAATACTTCAGATAGCATCAAGTATACTTCATTTACTTTCTCTAGCGATGTGCCCCTTCCAATNTTAAAACACAATGTGCTTTATTAAAAGTTAACTATTGTATAGTAACAATTTTTGTGCCTAAAAGTATATTATACAACAAACAATATAATTTACATATAATGCATACACTGGGTTGACTTGTTTCATTAACAAAAGCGGATAGAAGATAAGAAAATATACAGGGTGGACGAAAAGTCCGTTAACATTTAAAATTATTCAAAAAAATACAAAAGGTACTTGGGTTTATTTAATATTAAATTGTACACATTTAGATTTTATTTTTTGAAAATATTACTCAAAGTACTACTCCAACGTGATGGATTCCCTTAGAATCGATTGCCCTGTTAAGGTCATCATAGTCACTGCCCTTAGGGCTGGTACAGACCTACGAGACGACCGTATTTACTTAATGAACTCGCTAGTGCGAGCGGTGGCACTATATGGGGTGGTGGTATGCGGTTGGGGAAAGTTGGATAGACTAGGTAAGGTTCAAGGAAGATATTGTAAGATGGTTTTGGGGGTAGCAAAAAACACGCCAAAATATATATGGAGGAATGAGTTAGGCGCAGAAGATATAGAGTACACAATTAGGGAACGAATTTGCAGGTACTTAAAAGAGATTGTAGGGATGGGTGTACGGAGATGGCCTAAAGTGTGTCTAATCGAGGAAATGAGAGGTGTAATAAATAAACATGCATCAATATGAGGAAAAGCGGTGCGGGAAATGTTTGCCGAGATGGGTGTTACGGATGTGTGCAAAATGATTTGGGAGGGAAAGAGTGGGGAAGAAATTTATAATAGATGTATAGAAGGGTTAAATATGTAGTGGGCGAAAAAGTTGGAGGAAGAGTGGGAGGCAATAACAAAGTCATCCTACTATATAATGTACAAGGAGGGGCGGAATATTTAAACAAAATAAATAAAAAGAAAGACGATAAGAAAATGTGGGCGAAAATTAGATGAGGGAATATAGGGAGAGCGAATAAGAAGGGATATAGGGACTGGGAATGTAGACTATGCGGAGGCTCTGAAGAAACCTTAGCTCGCTTATTTTGTTGTGGAGTAGCCATACAGAGTCAGAGTGAGAGAGTTAAAGAGTTCATGAGAGTATGGATAGGTGACAGGTGTGAGCAGGAATTGAGGGGAATGATAATAGAAATGCTGAGAGGAGAAGTATGTGAGNTTTTTCGATTGAACCCACATTTCACAGGGCTGCCATTTAAACGAAACCTTAATTTTATATTTTTAAATACTCTGGATAGTAAATATAGTTTAGATAATAAATATCTCAATATCACCGCGATTTTTTGCATAATCCTATATTTTACCATTCTGAACAATTTTTTCCTATAACTTTTTTCGATTGAAACCATGTTTCATATGGCTGCCATATAAACGAAACAATATATTTTTTACTTTTGAACACTCTGTATAGTAAATCTGATTTTGATAATACAGACAATCTAGGATTAAAATAGGCAACAAGTTTTGTTTGAAAAATTTTTCAACTTAACTTATAGTTTGATCGCAGTGAGCATATTTCGTACTTTTTGGGCCACCCTGTATACATACACATATATGTTCATCTGGAAACAAACGACGTGACTTCTACATTATTCGAAATTCATTCTTGCAACAAACCACCCTGTGTATACAAATTTCTATATTTTTTTTTTGTTAGCAATAAAACACCAATAACTTCAGTACTGTCTTTCTTTATTATTTCTCAATGAAGTACACACGGATGCATAACAAGACGTATACTTTTTATTTTTATAGAAATTTGCACTGCTAGAGAAATAATTCATTTGTTGTATCATATATAATATTATTTTCACTTAAATATTATACAAATACACCAATTGTTGATGTTCCGCTTACTGGAAAAGCTGTGTTACACCTTTTTAACGATCTGAACGACATCCTCGTCAGCAAGAACATGCTCCTTCCCAACTTTCTGAGGNGTCAAAAAAATTCTGAGAATAGGGATAAGGCTATAGAGGAAATAAGAATCAGCAAGGAAAAACTAATTGAATGGAAAAATAAGGGGTTGAATGTAAGTAACATGATAAAGAATAGATGTAGAAGAATGAAAAGGGGAGAGGATCCAAGAAAAATTCAATGTTCAAAAAAGCAGAAGGGATGAAAGAATGCATATGGGAAGATAGGCAAAAAGACATAATACCTGACTACTTAATCAAGAATAAGGATATAGGAATAATAGTAAGATTTAGAATGGGGATGAATATAATGGAAATAAATATTGGTTAGAAGAGGAGGGGAGAAAACGTAGGATTTGTGGAATTGAAACTGAAAACTTGAGGCATGTAGTGGCAGAAGGTATGGAGAATAAAACTTTAAATAAGTGTAGTGAGATGAAAAGGGAGATGGAGAAGGTATTTTTAAAAAAGAAAAAAGAAAGGAAAGGAAAGATGGTGAAGGGATATAATAAGAAGGAATGGTAAGGTGGAGGGTTTAATCATAAAAAGTAGAAAGGAAATATTTTGAGTTTTTGTTTATTGGTTTATAGTTTATAAGTTAAAGAATGTCCATTGCTTGTATAGTATTTTTGTCAAAAATTATAAGAATCTGAATATGATTTAGTTAACATTAAGAAAAATTATTTTTGTTTACTTTTTGTTATTTGTTATTTCAATGAAAGTAGAAAAAAATTTGTTGTTTATGTTTTTAATGTATGTAAAGATAAGTATTGGCGCGTGAAGCCAAAGGTCCCGGGTTCGATTCCCGGCGAGGGTGACACAACAGGAACATTTTTCCTTCATTAATTCGAAGTAGTTTGTAGTGGGTAAAAATTCAGAAATGAATTTTCGGAATAATATTTCGTATTAACTTTACATTAGTTGAATAAACGGTATATACGTCTAAGAATTACAAAGAATGTTTAATTCCATTAGGGTGCCCCGCCATGTAGTAATTTTGAATTAATTTAAATTGATATAGGTCTATGTAGATGGTTAAAATACGAATGTTTCAAGCATTCCAATCACTTATGATTAATTATTCTTATATTATAAAAAAATGCGTTTCATTTGAAGATCATTGTATTTCAAAATCTTGAGATATGAATTAGAATTAAGAGCTCTGATTTATAAGCCTTGGACAATAACGCGTAACATCGAAAATGAAAAGAGATATCTATTAATTTTTATTAGGGTAAGAACAAAAAAAATGAATAAAGTACAGGCCTGACGCTGGAAGCTGGCGGAAATTTTAAAATGGCGTGGATGCGCGGTGGCAAAAGTAGGCAGTTTTAGGTATAACGATTGCAGCCCTCATTCTTCAGTATTCCTATCAGGGGCGTAGATTAAATATTTAAAAATAGGAATC